TACCGACACTTGGTGGTATCCGCTCGCTAAATCCAAGGTCGTATAGTATTTAGAATTACCTAGTTGATCTAAAATATCATTTATATTAGGAATCGGAAACACATCTCCGATCGTAATATTATTTAATTTCCTGAAATCCACACAGATACGAAATTTTTGTTTCCCTGAACAATCCACCTTCTTTGGTATTACTATTATCTTTTTCCATTTGATCTACCTGCGTTGATATCTCTTTTTTGTGATTTTGTGGTAACCTATATGGTTTAATATAAATTGGTTGAATATCGGGTGCTGTTCCAATTCGATGCTGTATTGCTGATGTTCCATCTAATCTGTCACCTAATAAAAAAACATCGGAAAATTCAATAAATATATTTTTTTAATGATTGGTATTCCTACTTGTTGAGATGCTGCAGTCTTAACGACTTCTCCAATAATTGTACCCGATTTTCATTATCTGGACCTTCTGTAAATTTAGTACACACTTGTATTTTTGCCTCTTCAAATTGCTCGTACAATAAACTATCCAAATCTACTGGCTGTATATCAATAGAATTCTCGGTTTGATTGACAATTTTCGTTAGCACTTGCCGATTCCTTACTGTAGTTACTACATTACCACATTGTACTCGATTTTGCAATACTTGTAAATAAATAATCAGTGTATCTTTTTCCTTTATTTGACTGTCTGTAATTTTTACTGAAATTATCAATAATTTTGATTTCCGATTAATAAATTCTGTAGCTTGACAAATAATGTGATCTTTAAAAAGTTTAGCTTTTAATTTGAATGTTCTAGAAATGTTACGGCTGTTGCTTTGATTTCCTGGACCGATCGTTCGCCGTTCTAAATCGAAACTGTCTCGTTTCCCGAAGTTGATGGTTCTGTCATTGAACTTGAATTCGCTTGAACAGCTCTTTTTTCATTGTTTCATTGTTGCTTGTTTTTTCGTTGAAGTGTCTAAACATTCGTATTGTCTCAACCTCAAACCTAACGTCTACCTTTCTTTGATCAGACCCGTGGTCGTCCCAAAAATCGAAAATTGGTAACATATTTAATTGCTTACTTGGGCGGCGTCTGCCTGCCCGTTCCGTGAGTGTTACCGGCCGACCGGCTTATCGGTCTAATTGCCTACCGTTGCTCGCTATCTCAAGTCGACGATGCTCGATTCAAGGTTGTCGGGTAAAAATAAAAATTCCGCTCGTGCTTAAGTCAAAACAACTCTAATCGGCCTCCCAAGCCGACCGATAAAAACGTAAATAAGAAATTAACTATCAATACTAACTTAAACAGCGACGTAAGTAATCTCTCCGATGATTCCGATGACCAATCATGGTCTACTAATAACAACAAACGTCTCGTTCCGCCAGGTTTTTCTCCAACATCTAAAGAGCCAAAAATCTCTAAAACTAACACCTCCAAGTTCTCCACGCCAAATCGCTATGAAGCACTCAGTGAAGTGGTTACACCCGACTCCATGGATACGGCTGAACAAACAAATGAACTTTCTCCTACAACTCCGCCACCTATCTTCATCACTACACCAGTCGATTTTAACGATTTTTGCAAATCCTTACTATCGATCACGGGTGAAAACGGTTTCGAATGCAAATCGTCTACCAAACACCTAAAACTCACTACGACCAAAATTGAATTCTATCGCCTTATTATACATCTGCTAAACGAAAACAAATTCGAGTATTTTACTTACCAAGTCAAAGCTGATAAGCCCTATCGGGTTGTAATAAGAAATCTTCACCCAACGACGGACACAAATTCCATTAAGGACGAACTAACTTCTAAGGGCTTCGCTGTAAGAAACATCTCTAATATCCAGGCAAGACTATCTAAATCTCCTCTCCCGCTTTTTTCGTCGATCTAGACCCGGCTCCTGAAAATCCAAATATCTTCAAACTTACCTCACTTTGCTACACCAAAATTAAAGTCGAAGAGCCTCACTCCCGGAAGGACCTTCCCCAGTGCCATAGATGCCAGGACTACGGCCACACCAAAACTTATTGCAATCACGATCCTCGTTGTGTCCGCTGCGGCCAAAGGCACCTCTCTGAACTCTGTGAAAAATCAAGGGACACCCCGGCATCCTGCGCTCTCTGTGGGGAAGCATACCCTGCAAATTATAAGGGATGCATCAAACACAAAACTCTGTTGCGATCAAGAAACTCCAAACTCAAGAACTTCACCCAAACCAACTACTATCAACACTCAAGCAACCCATCTACCACCAGCCATGTAAACCTCACCAGTTCGGACATCTCTCGGCAGACCAACCCTAACTTTGTACAAACCAGTTCAGCCACCCGACAAAACTCCTTCGCCAGCGCAACAAAAGGTAAAACCCAATCCCCTATTAACGACTCCCCTCCCGAAAACCCTCTCTCAAATCAACTGACATCATTCATTCATGTGCTCCAATCACTCATCACACCTCTAATAACCCTCCTCTCCTCTCTCATCAATAAATTAGTTGTTACCAATGACTCTGAATTCTAATCTAAACTCTCCCCTGTCCATAATCTCCTGGAACGCCAATGGTCTTTCCAAACATAAGCACAAATTCCAACTCTTTCTCGAAGCTAAAAATATCGACATCGCCCTTATCTCCGAAACGCACTTTACCCCCACATCTCACTCAAAAATATTTGGATATCAAGTTTATCATACTTGCCATCCGGACGGTACTGCCCACGCTGGGTACCGCTATCTACATTAAAAACAATTTATCCCATCATCAATTAGCCCCACACTCTGAACCCTGCCGTGCACTTAAATCTGTCTTAGACTCTATGAACTACTCAGTAATCCCCCCCCCTTCTCCTACTTACTGGCCTTCTCACTGTAACAGACTTCCTGATATCCTTGATATATTCGTTTCCAAAATTCCAAACCACATACACTCAACCATATCAAACTTAAACGATCCCTCCTCTGACCACACCCCAATTTATCTTGAGGTGGGTGCCTGGGCTACTAAACAAATTAAACCTTCCCTTACTTCTGGCAGAGTAAACTGGCCTAAATTCAAAAAATTAGTAACCGACAACATAAACCTTAAACCCTCCCTAAAAACTACCTCTGAAATCGACAGCGCTATCCTTTCCTTAACTTCCACTATTCAAAATTCTGCCTCCGCGGCCTCGAGTAACCATCCTCCACCCCGGAATAATACTAATATTTCTGCCCATATCATGCTCTTACTAGCCGATAAACGCAGAGCCAGAACCCAATGGCATAGATCTAAATACCCATCGGACAAAGCAACGTTTAATTAACTGAAAAATAAACTAAACAAAGCTATTCTTAAGCTCAAAAACGAAAGTTATCAAAACTACATCCAAAACCTCTCAACTAAAGACTCATCTTTATGGAAGACCACTAAAAAATTAATCCATCATAAGCTACCATCCCCCCCACTCCGTATGCCAAACAATTCGTGGGCCTCCTCTGACTCCGATAAAGCCAGCATTTTCGCCGAACACTTAGCTAACGTTTTCAAACCACATAATATCATCCCAAATAAAATTCATACTCTAAATATTACTAGATTTCTTGAGTCCCCTCTCCCTATGGCCCTCCCTGCCAAATATACTAGCCCGGGTGAAATTCAATACATCATCCGCAAACTCCCAACCAAAAAAGCCCCTGGGCACGACCTAATAAGCAACTTAGTTGTCAAACACCTCCCTGAAAAATCTATCATTCTTTTAGCACTAATTTTCAAATCTATGTTTAGTTTATCCTACTTCCCTACAGCCTGGAAACACTCAAACATAATCCTAATCCCAAAACCGGACAAACCGCCTGATATCCCGTCTTCCTACAGACCAATCTCTCTCCTCCCCACATTCGCAAAAATTTTTGAAAAAATACTCCTCAAAAGGCTACTTCCACTATCGGACAAATTCAACATCATCCCAAACCACCAATTTGGATTCAGGTCCAAGCACTCCACCATCCACCAGCTCCACCGCACTGTCGACTTAATCTCTACCAGCATGGAATCAAAACTTACTGTGCGGCTGTACTCCTTGACGTGGCTCAGGCCTTCGACAAGGTGTGGCATGAAGGACTTCTCTTCAAACTCAAAAAATTCCTCCCTGCCCCCTACTACCTTCTCTTAAAATCATACCTCGAAAATCGCACCTTCTGTGTTCGCGTTCTGAGTCAGGGGGAATGGGAGGTGGCAGAGTATAATGGAGAATGACAAGGGGGTCTTTAGGGGGTTGGTCATTAAATTTATAAGAAAAGAATTTATGAAGGCCGGATTTGTCTTGAAATATGTCTTGGAAATTTTGTAAGAGAGAGGTCATTAAATTTTGTTGAGAAATATTAAGGGGAAAGTCGTTGAGAGCGATATTTTTTTCTGTTTCGAAATTGAGAGGGTTGTATTTTAAGCTTGAGGGGAATTCGGAGAGTAGAGGGAGATCTTCTGAGATATTGATATTTTTGAGTGAATTTACCAGGCTATTGGGGTCATGATCTACAATTAATTTAAAAGGTATTTTATTTTTGAGTGAGGGGAGAGAGATTTCCTTAGTACTATAGTCTATGGTCACCTCATTTTCCACCAACCAATCGGTTCCCAAAATAAGAGGGGTAGAGAGATGGGGGACAACAAGTAAAATACCAAAGGTTTCATTGTTTTGAATTGAAAAGTTTAAATAGATTTGAGATTTTATTTTTATTGATTTATTATTTAGTGCTGTTGTGAGGAGTATGCCGTTAAGAGGAAAGAGGGGGATTTTATTTTGTGAAGGGTCAGAGATTAAGTTTTGATACAGTTCTTCGGAGACTGCAGATACTGAGGTACCAGAGTCTAAAAGAGCATTATAGTGAATTTTGAAAAGTTTTAAGGGGATTTCGGGACGATAATTTGGAGGGGGAACGATTTCCTGATCTATATTTAAGGAGTGTGTGAGTATAGAAATTTGAGGACTATTATTAGTGGACACAGGACACGTTCTCATGGGTCTGGTCAACGCTAGTTTCCCGAAGGGGAAGTGGCCTGGTCTGGTGATGGGGGTGACGATTGATTTTGAGTGTTATCCGTTTGAGGTCTATTGTAATTATTGAAACGAGGGGAGTAATTGTTTTGACGGGGAGGGTATTGATTGTAGCGTGGTGAACTTGAAGACTGGTGATATGAATTTTGCTGAGGGGAAGAGGTTTGATTTTGATGGGGCTGAAGGTTTCGATTGGAGTGGGCTTGTTGAAAATGAGAAAGCTGTTGTATGAGATCATTGGTGGTGGTAATGCGTAAACCACGGAGAGCGACTGCTACATGGAAAGCGTAGTGCGACAGAATCTGGTATACCATTTCGGGTTGATCAATCGGGGGTTGTAAGAACCTAACTTTATTTATCCAGTCCATGGCATGCTTCTGGAGGGAGGTGTTATCATTATGGTGATATGGTCGGTAGAACTCATTGCGGATGGCACGTTGTTGGTTCGTGGGCCAGAAATGGTTCCGAAATAATAAAAGAAACTCACTATACACCGATGGTGGGGGGATACCATAGTTGAGCATCATCTACGAACTTCGCCTTTACATAGTTGATCTTGAACTGGTCGGGGACGGGGGGTTGTGTCAAAAAATATTGTTCGGCTTGTTCTAGGAACTCTTCGGGGTGAATGGGTGTTAACTGTCCGTTGTAAGTGGGCAACTTGGTTGAATCCAAATTGATACCAGAGATATTGGAGAGGGAGTGAGTACCATAAACAGAGACAGAGGGGGGGGCGTTGGAAAATGTACTTTTGTGTTGAGGTGCCGAATAAACTGAAGTGTGATACGGGGCAGCCGGTTGTGTGGGAAGTGAATTTGTAATTGTAGTTGATTTGAACAGATTATTAAATGAATTTTGTGTAAAAGGCTGAGAATTATTAAAAGAGTGTTGTAAGAGGGGTTGACTATGTTTACTTGAAGTTTGAGGCATAGCGGAAATATTATTATTTAAAGTTTGTGCAGGGGGTTGGTAGCTGATATTGGCTGGGGCTTGCGAACAGGCTAGGGGGTACGAAGTTGTAGAAAGGGGTTTAGGGGCAGAGATAAGGGTTTCGAACAACATTTCCCAGGACAGCTAGACGGGCAGATTGACCTTCGACCATGCTTACTCTACTAGTGAGGGTTTTGACAGTGTCTTGGATTTTGTGATATGTGAGGGTGTTGGTTTTCTGGGTTTCCTGACAGCATAGTTGTTGATGAGAGAGATCGTTCTGAATATTTATAAAATCACGGTTGACATTCGCCTGAAGTTGCTGGAAATTTGTCCTAATCTCAGTATCACCATCATCCACACGGGTACACAACTCCTCAATACGGGTATCAAAAGCGACTAACCTCTTGGACATAGCGTCAAACTGGAGGGCAAAGTTGTCAAACATATCTCTGAGCCTATTGTCTAAGGAGTCAAGAGTAGGGGGGACCTTTTGAGTCAACGAGACATCACCTTCTCCGTCGACGGACATGGTTAAATCGAAATCGGTGGGGGTAAGAGGGGAGAGGAATAATTTACTGAATTGTTATACCGGTCAGGTTGTTGGGTGGTTCGCTTGCCTGCACTTTGCATTAGGGGAAAATGAAATAAGTTTTAAATATTACAATTTATACAATCAGGTTTACTAAGTGAATATTAATAATCAGGGAAACAGTATAGGATATACTAATTAAAAAAAAAATAAAAAAATTTAATGTGGCTAAATAATAGTACTTACTCCCAGACGGAAAATAATTTGGGTGCTATTGCAGCAAAACTAGTTGTAATAAAGTATTTGTGTAGAATAAGAAAGAAACAAATTATAATAAGGACCTCAACTGAGGGAGAGAAAAAAAAAAAAAAAAAACAAAGTTATATATATAGTGACACAAGTCCTAACCCAAAGAGGGGCAACAAAGCTGGTCCAAGTACATAGAGCACTATACAGCAAGGTGATTCCCTAGCTAGGAAAAAAACATGTGACACTCACTAAAGAGAAAAAATGAAATAAATAATTTAATTTGGTCAGATTGATAATAATTATGACCTAACGGTACCGATTAATAATAATGATTTAATGTTAATGTTTAACTGTAATGAGAAATAAATTTAATTTATATTAATATAAGGTTATATAATAAATGCTGGGATGTCCTCAGACAGTTAATTTAGTTGTAATGAAATAAAATATAATAGTGATAATCAGCCTCAACTGTTATAATAAGAAAATTAGAATATTAGTTTATTAGTTTATGTTAAATTGAACAGGGAACCTACGTGGGTTGGAGCTACCTACACACACCTTTCAACACAGGCACAGTCTTAGTCGTTTTACATAATTTGGGGGAGTAACAATAATAATAGGGAACACTATAGGGGAAAATTTTAATTAATCATAATAGGGAAGCACTTTAATAATTTATAGGGAAACATCTTAATATTTTTGGTAATTTAATTTTATGAGCTTTTTGCAAGAGAAAGGAAATGGTTAGATTTTTTTTTTTTGTATTAATATTTAATTTATCATTTTTATAGAGAACATGACAATTTAGTTTATAATAAGTTTTCAATAATGGATTTTTGTGCCTACCAAGGGAAATATATTTTAATTTAATTTATAATAATAATGTGGTTTCACGCATGACAACCAACAGATTTAAGTTAATGTATATAATTTTGACCATGAGGTCTTGACAAAATATGGGTTATAATAATATAAAATTGACCATGTGGTCTGGGGGAAAAAACAAGAGTTATCGCGCCTTGAACAGAAACGAATCTAACAGGGTTATGCATGGGAGGAAAAAACGGGTCTAGGGAACATAACAGGGGGGGGTTTACAAGGGGAAAAATATTATAATCATACCAAAGGGAGATAGACGGGTCGTTGCAGTGTCCGGAACTTCGATGCCGCAGCTATCCGCCAAGCCGTCACCGACAAACGCCTCTGCCGCATCCATAACCAGCACATACCAGCAGGAACAATTTCTGTAAAAAGCATGTTGGATAACAATTGTGTATGGGGGGAAACATAATAAAAATAATAATAATTTAATTATACCTTGGTAGGGCATCATTTTGCCATATTTAATTTTTACAATATATTTTTTTTTTTCTTACCAAAGGTAAAGTGAGAATTTTAATTTTACATTTTCTCTTGCACAAGAGTGATAGAGAGGAGAAAAAAAAATTGGTTTTAATTAAAAATGTTTGGGTTTGGGGAACGGTTGCTAGGAGGGACATGAGAGATTGATTTAAAGGCCCCCATAAACGATCAAACAGTTTGCGCAAGCATTTTGATCGTGTATGGAATGGATTGAGTAGTTGCGCAACTGTTTGAAACCAAGCTTGAGGTTTTCGGTCGAGTCCGAAATATTTTGTGCAACGCTCAATGATTGATAAGCGGTTTGAACGTGTATGTCAGTGTTTGACAAGCGTCAGTGGTGGAAGTATCATATTGTGTTGTTTAAAATTGTTCGAAGTAAATTTAAAGTTCTGAATTTTATTTATTTATTTTTATTATTTTTACTTTTTTAAGTGTTAACTAAAATATTAATATTTACTATTATTATTTATTTTAATAATATAAATATATAATACAGTTATTAGTATGGGAACTAAAAATGACGAAGACAGAGAATTCTGGTGTGAATTTTTCTTACTTTACCAAGAGTTACCAGAATTGTGGAAAGT